AGAAGAGTTCTGAAAGAATATCATACACATGATACCCTTTAGGACTGATGACCTAATAACGTTTGTTTATAAGCGTGAGGGCAAAGTATGGGGGAGGGAGTATTGTGGGAGCTCCCATAATATCAAGTTACAACAAAGATAAATCTGTGTAATAACCAAATGTCTAAATGGTAGCAGTCAGTCTTCGGGGTTCGTACAACAAATAGAAGAGGAGATGTGTGTTGCCACAATAAAATGTAAACGGTTATCGTTCTCAGGGTGTATAAATTAAGTTTTTCATCTCTGAAGTAAACGTTTTACAAATATTTTTTTGTTAACGACTGCCTTCGCGTTTAATACAAAGTAACCGTTTTACAAGTATTTTTTTGTTAACGACTGCCTTCTCGTTGAATACAAAGTAACCGTTTTACAAGTATTTTTTTATTAACGACTGCCTTCTCGTTGAATACAAAGTAACCGTTTTACAAGTATTTTTTATTAACGACTGCCTTCTCGTTGAATACAAAGTAACCGTTTCACAAGTATTTTTGTTGACGACTACCTTCTCGTTTAATACAAAATAACCGTTTTTACAAGATTTTTTTTTTTGTAAATGACTGTCGTCTCGTTTAATACGAAAATATTTAGTGCTAGCTTCATCTGCTTTGAAAGCATCTAACGTATCTGAATAAACGTGATAGAGATTCGTTAAAACAGAAGTAAGGTTTTTTAGAAGTGAATTAAGTTATATTTAGTTGATAGATTTTGTTTCTATTATAGAAAGTAACATGTGTGAGGTCTGTATGCTTGTTTAATGCATGATTTATAAATCAGCAATAATATTACGAGATATTCAGAAAAACTGTTTTACAGCATTTGGACTCATCTTGGCATGGGTAGTTTTTGTTTTTTAACTTTTTAACGAGGTGGGGACACAATCAACGACACATGATATTAAAAAATACTGATCTGTTCACTGTTCAAAATAATTAAGGGATAATCGGAGTTTTCTATATTGTTACAGTTACAAGATACAACCACGGATTTTCAATAATGTTAATACTCCTTCTGGTTAATTTTTCATGCAACAACAAGGGTATGTT